AAAGACGGCTGCGATGATCTTGCGGGTACGCTGTGGGTAGGAGACGGCGCGGTACTGCAGCGGGTGGCAGAGGGCCACGTAGCGGTCCACGGTCAGCAGCACGGTGACCCAGATGGAGGCGTGGTTGGCTGTGAACTCCAGCACGTTGACAGTGTGGATGAAGGCGCTGGGCACCGCCCGGGCCAGGATGGCTGTCTGCAGGATGAAGCCCACAAAGATGATGAAGACCTGGGTGAGGATGTCGGAGGTGGTCAGGGCCAGCAGGTACCAGTAGGATGACTTCTTGGTCCTCGTGGCCAGGCGGGACAGGGCCACGGCGGTCAGGACATTCACTGCAGGGAGGGGAGCGATGTGCAGTGGTGAAACCCCAGGGCTCACAGCCCGCCCCCCCACCACGCAGCACCCAGGACCCCAGGGGTGCCCAGGCTCTCCCAGGGCTGCAGGGCGAGCGGCCCCAGGCCCCAGCTGGGGTGGGGAAGCTATAAATATCATGGTGTGGTGGGGATTTGCTGAGCTGATTAATCTGTTCCGTGTGTCAGCCCAAGCGACGCAAATACCATCTGTCCCTGCTGCTGTGGCATCTGCCACGTGGGTCTGGGCTTTACAGCCAGGCACCGCAGCTGGGGCCAGCCCCGAGGCCAGGGGGGCTGTGGGGAGCAGGTCGGTTTCCCCCACCCCTGAGGACTCTCCTCCCCATCACCAAAAGCCCTGGGGTTGGGACTGGAGCTGAGGCTCTGCTGGCAGCCGAGACCACAGGCTGGGCTGAGGGTGCGCAGCTCAGCACCCCTTGCAGGGGCTCAGCACCCAGGTGGGTGCTGTCTGCTGGCCCCCCACGCTCCCGGGCAGCTCCCCCTGCCCCAGACCCCTCACCTGGCAGCCCCAGCCCCAGCAGGACGCTGTAATACACGATGGGGAAGATGCCGACCATGCAGGGTGACCGCTCCTGCTCCGGCCGTGCCGCCTCGCCAGCCCACACCAGCGCCGTGCTGTTGGGCACCGGGACCATCTTCTTCTGCCACGGACCAGCTGCGAGGGGAGACGGGGAGCGTCAGGGGGCCGAGGGCCCCGGTGGCACCAGGGTAGGGGCTCAGCCAGGACATGGCACAGGGGGCTCGGGG